GTTGTTATAAAAAATAAAGGCGAATCGTATACAAACAACAGTTGACCTTGAATCATAAATAAATAAATAAATAAATAATAATAATAATAATAATAACTAACAAGCACACAAACAAACGTAGGCCTTGCCTACTTCACAACACTATTTGAATAAGTTAGAGCGCATACTAGTTTGTGAAACTCAGGAATCGTGTTTACGTACCCTGATGATGATTTAAGAAAGTCGAAACCTTAGACCATATTTCTTAGAGTATTCATAATTTGGAAAAGTTGATATTTAAAATTAAAATAGATGTTCTTTTTAATAACATTTGCCGGAGAGCCGTGTTTTAATTCTAATTCAGTTATTTGCAATTGCCTTTGGGCAAGGTATAAATCCATATCTTCTACATTATTGATAAATAGTAGGACAGACGGGGTCCAATAGCTTTGGCTGACAACCGGTCTCAGATAAGAATAGCTCTGAATTTAAAACGTCCTACCTTGGTTAAATATTAGCACAGACTGGGTTCTTCAGTCTTGGGTAGCAAACAGTCTGTAAGAATTACAACTCTGAATTCAAAAACCGTACGTAACAATGGTAAAGCACATACTATAGAGCTACTGTTAGGATTGTTGAGTTTTCAATGACTATGATCCCAACTGCAGTCGTGTGTGCGTGTGCGCATGCGCGTGCGTAGCACTCGATTCGAAAAATATATATATACACATATATACATACATATTTATATGTGTGTTGAAAGAAGTGAAATATAACAAATATGGAAGGCATTCATCACAAAGAAACGCCCAGCTTTTATTGAAAATGTTGAGATGCGATGGAACGAGATGTCAGGTGTATAGTCAACGACGAAATTATTTGTACCCATCATTTTTAAATATTTTTAAGCATTTCTCATAATCTAATGCCAGTATGATGCCAGTGTGTTTGTATGTTAATAAACACAATAAAATGAATATTAACATCAATTTTTAGAACAACAGGTTAGATAAAACAAATTTGAAAAGTGAATTATGAAAAAATAGGAAAAGACAAAATTATTCGTACTCTAAAAAAATATCGTTTTAAATTGATGATCTTGTGTAAGTATAAGTAGTTTATATAATTATTTTATTGGCGAATCGCTCTAGTCTATTTATTCAGTAGAATATTTTTCATAGTTGACTTGATTCCTATTGAAAATCTATGGCGAGTATTGAATACTTGAATAAATAGTTGGTCACCAAAAAAACCTTCAAGAATTAAAACGAGTAACCATTAGATACTGAGAAATGAATGAAAAATATTCAAAATTGTTGTGTGTATGAATAATGTTGTCGTTGACTGTAGCTTATCTCAATTAAGTTCTATTGCTTTAACTTTTGTTTTCATCGCTTTTTATCACTTATGAAGCATTGTCAACCGTTATCCCTTTTCAACTAATATTACTCTCATCTAATTGTCAGCTGAAGTTTATCGCCACTGCTTCAACCGTCAAACTTCGACTCACCAGGAATAAGCAATAATCTGTGGCATGATTAGTCAAATAAAAGTCAGAAATTAATACGGTGTTAAGGATCTGCTTTATTCGTCTGCTCCTAAGCGGATTTGCAACTGGTGTAATTCATTGCAGATTAGTGACCCGATATATTCCTAATATTACAAAAGCCAGTATTCGACTTATTTTTTCAGTAATTATATATTGAGAATCGTTTTGAATCTCCAACAGGATTACCATTTGTTCTTGTCTCTTTTAAAAGACCTTTCAGAACTGTCCCATTTCTTCCATTACTGACATATGCAACTATAAAGTAATTATTTCACAAGTTCATCAAAATACTTTTGCGATATATAGCAGTTTCGAACCACGAATTATCTCACACGGAATTATTAGTACTATTTAAATTTGAAAAAAATAATTTCAACGCAAGCAAGACAATAAGTCCACTAAAATGCAACTCGTTACTGAATCTTAGAGATATATAAGAAACCAAAACTAAGGAGGTAGAACGATAAAAGCCTGATATATAGTTTTTTTATATCCTATTTCTCCCATATATATATATATATATATATATATATATATATATATATATATATATATGAAATTTGAACGAATTATTAACATATTTGAATGCAATATTCTATAATAAAATAAATATATATATATATATATATATATGTGTGTGTGTGTGTGTGTGTAAATAAAAAGAAAGAACAATAACTATATAATCCGGTGTTCTTACTGACATATTTTATTTTTATTTTTACAAAACAGTGATCAATGTAAATTTACAGAGCATAAATCTTATAAATTAACTGGTTTAAAATATGTTTTTCGCTACACAAGTAATAACCATGTTTAAAAAATGGAAGCTTAAAGCTTAGAATTTAATTTTGTAATTAAATAAAAAAACATTAGATCCATTGCATACACAAGTGTATATATATATATATATATATATATATATATATATATATATATATATTTATATAAATTCGTTTGAGGATGAAATGAAACTAATGTTTTTTTTACAAAATTAAATTCGAAGCTTTTAGCTTCCAATTTTGAATCATGGTTATTATATATATATATATATATAGATATATAGATAGATAGATAGATAGATAGTTAGATATAGATATAGATATACTACACCCATCAACATTCAATATTTTTTCCCATTTCTCGAATCAAATAGCCTTACGATGCCAGATTTTTTTGTTTTTTTTTTGTTAATTATCGCGAAAAAGGGAATATAGAACTCAATTTTCAGAACAATATTTTAAATACCACATCTTTGAGAGGCGAACTATGCAAAATACGGAAAGACAAAGTTATTCATACAATAAAAAGTAACGTTTTAAATTGATTGATTCGTGTAAGTATAAGTAATTTACATAATTATTTCTTCACTGAATCCTTCTACTGCATTTATTCAGTAGGTTATTTGTGATAACTTCAGTAAAGAACATCATATAATGTCTAGAATGTCACCATTTTTAAATTTACATTAACAACAAAATGCGGAAGACAAAAGAGCTTAGCGTTGTCTTGAGACAGTGAAGTATTAGCTTCCACAAGTCGGGATATAGATACAGGGTTATTTCAAACCGATTGGCTATCCCTAAAAGAAAGTTAAAACTGTTTGGCACGACAGAGAATTTGTCTGGGCGTGGACTAAAACAGAAATTATTGTCGAGAACTGCACGAAAACAGTGTCGCGAGGTTAATATAAACCCAAGTGTTATTTTGAAAGACATCTCCAAAAGCTTGGATACGATGGGTATCAGCGTAAGTACTCAACCAATACAAGGTTGTTTAAAAAGAAATGGGTTTTTATGGAAATCGACCACCAGGAACCCCTCTCACAAACAATGTCACATTGTTGTTCGGTTTAATTTTGCCAAAACGTTCTTGGACAAGGCAAATTGCTTTTGGGTACTATGGAGGGATGAAACAAAAATTGAGTTTTTTGGATGTAGAGAAGATTTGGCAGAAGAAAGGTGAGGCTTTCCTCCCAAAGGAGACAGTGGCAACATTAAGACATTGGGACGGCTCGTTGATGTTTTGGGGACGAGACAATTAATTGCAATAAGAGGATTAATGAAATCTGTAGACTATATCAAAATTCTGGAGGAAAATATACAACTATCAGCGCAAAATAATGATCCCAAACATAAGTCTAAAACAGTGACTGCTTAACTCCAGAAAAAGAAGATTACAGTTCTGCCATCATCGTCAACGAGTCCTGACTTGAATCCTTTTGAAAATCTATGGCAAGAGTTGCAACTTCGATTAAATCGTCGAGCCCCCCAAAAAACTTCAGGAATTAGAACGTGTTGAAGATTGGATGAAAATCTCGGAAAAGACATGTTCAAATATCATCAAAAACTTTAGAAAACGATTGTATCAAGTTATAAAGATGATAGGCCATGCTTTAAAGACGAAGTCATTATATTATATATATATATATATATATATATATATATATATATATATATATTAGCTTTTCTAAATCCGAAATATTCTTAAGCTGAAATGTATAGTGGATACTTCGTATTTGAAATACACGCACCATTTATATTTATTAAACCGTATTACGTTTGATGTAATGGATTCACGAAATTTTATTAAATAATTGCAGTAAATAAAACCGACGCGTCTGTTTCAAATACAAAATATCCACGATAATAATTTTTGAATTAGTTAAAAATGTTGATTTAAAATAAATCGAGTATTTCTTTAGAAATTAATTCTTTAGAATATCCACTGAAAACATTATTTCGTAAAAGGTTTCTTTTTTTATCTCTTCATATAAACTTGTATTTGAATATCTAGACGTTTCAACTTGTAGCGATTTTCTAAGCTTAGATCAGATGTAAAACACGGAACAGCTAGCGAGGTTCGAACTCACTACTCAATCGTAGTTGTTCTAGCGAGACAGGTTTGCTAACCATTACACCACCTCGAGAACTTTCGACCTGCATGTTTCATTACATTTTATAGTATAAGTTATTCTTCTGATCTGATTCTTGTAATACTAGTCCATGGCAGTAGGAATTATTATTATACAGTGACTATTTCAGCTAATACGATATGCTACTTACTTATTGGTGCCCGCTGGCATACGCTTCTAAATTCTCGTTTTAAGTTAAATCGTGAAATGTGATAAATCTGCCGCAGTAGATATTCCTCGTTGATTTCTTCACCAAAGACTAATTAAGCACCTGCAAAATTTTTCGACCATTCACGAAAACAAGCCAAGATACCATTAACATTGTTATAGGTATTATAGTTTTTCATCTTCTCGAGGTTTTTTGCCTTTATCTTCGTCTTCTCGTTGATTTTATTATTGTTTATCTTCTCTTCGTAAATTCTTCTGAAATGGTTTCCATCAACAACTTTAATTCCTTTGCATCGAGTTTTTCAAACTGCTCATCTTTCCTCCTTTTTCAATTCTGGGGTGTTTTTTTTTTCTATTTCTCCTATTCTTTCAGTGGTTTTTGACACATATAATGTTGACACGCCGGTTCCCGTAAGATCTCCGAAGTTAAGCAACGTCGAGTTTAGTCAGTACCTAGATGGGTGACCTTTTGGGTGTACCAGGTGCAGTCAGGTTGGATAATGCATAGTAGCTAGGAAATGTTAATCGGATGGTGGAGTTCCAATCCCCGTTTGGTTCTATATATTCACTTATGCTAAAATACCAGAAGTTAAGCAACGTCGAGGTTAGTCAATACCTAGATGGGTTATCGTTTGAGAGTACCAGGTGCTGTCAGTTTGGATAATGCATAATAGCTCGGAAATGTTAATTGGAGTGTGGTGTTCCAATTCCCGTTTTGTTCGTTATATTAACTTATGCGCAAATACCTGAAGTTAATCAACGTCGAGGCTAGTCAAGTAAAGGTATGGATCGAACTCATCTCACAGCTTAAAACATCGCTGAACCATTACTTTCTCCCCCATCCGAATTCTTACAATCTAAAAGCATCCTGGCTTAAGTTAACATGCAAAGTGTTGATAAGCCGTAGAAAACGAAACAATCAAATTCTCATTAATGATCTCTTCTTCTTCATCTTCTTTTTTTCTTTTTTTTTCTTCCTTTTTGGTAACATCGGTATAAAATTTTGTCATCATCATCATCATCATCGCCATCATGATCGCCATCATCATCATCACCACCATCATCATCATCATCATCATCATCATCATCATCATCTTCTTCACATTATTCACTGTCTCCTTACATATATTTATTTCCATTTTCCCTTCGTCTTTTTCCATTTGCATGTGGTATCATTATTTCTACATCTGCCACATGTTTCCCGATTTCTCTTCTTGTTCATGATCTTTTTGTTATCTACTTATATTCGTTTCCCCTTTTCTTTCTTTTTCTTTCTTTCTTTCTTTCTTTCTTTCTTTCTTTCTTCTTTTCCTTCTTAGTTTGCATATATTTGTCAGAGTCTGTCCCATTCATTATTTCCTTCATTATTCTTTTCTTCTTTCTTTCTTTCTTTCTTTCTTTCTTTCTTTCTTTCTTTCTTTCTTTCTTTCTTTTTAGATTGCACTTATTTACCACAGCGCTATACCATTCTTTCTTTGTTTCTTTTTTGTTTGTATCTTTCTTTCGTTTACTTTGTTTCTTTTTTTCATAGATTGCACATATTTTTCATAGTCTAATTGTCCCATTCATTCTTTATTTCCTTGTTTGTTTGTTTCTTTCTTTCAAAAGTGTAACTACCCCATTCTTTCTATCTTTCCTTCTTTATTTCTCTCTCTTTTTCTTTCTTGCTCTTTTTCGAGATAACACGGGTAATTATTCGAATCTTTCTTTCTTTCTTTCTTTCTTTCTTTCTTTCTTTTTTACTTTCTATCTTTCTTTCTTTTATCTTCTTGTCAATCCCAACTCTCCTCTTGCCGGTAGCAATGTACAAATGGCTATAATTGTTACCATCAGGAAAAATATTTTCTCCCGCCAAATCCATGATGGCAGCCATTTTATTTGCTTTTTGAAAAATGTGCAAAAGTAGCACTAATGGAAACTTTGAAAGTCTTTTGTTTTGTCGTGTTTCTTTTCTTTTGTAACTTACTGATATTAGAGACTTTTTTGCTCTTATATTCCGAGAGTTATTATATTCCCTCTTGTTTTCTAATAAATGGGTAGGAAAACAATGATACACCTGCAATAGTAATACATGCATATATATATATATATATATATATATATATATATATATATGTGTGTGTGTGTGTGTGTGTGTGTGTGTGTGTGTATAATGACAAAAATATATATATATATATATATATATATATAAAGATATGCATTATTATTTATAATATTAAATGTATATAATATATATATATTTATAATATATTATCTAATATATATATAATACAATATATATAATATATTATATATAATATATTATATTATATATTATATATATTATATAATATGTTATATATAAGATATTATATATATTATATATATAATATATGATATATAATATTTTACATTTAATATTTTATGTAATATATATATATAATATTATATATATATTTTAATTATATAATATTTTATATATTTCATAACATATAGTATATAATATACAATATATATTATATAACATATAATATATAATATAGATAATATATAATATTACATATATATAATAACATTATATATATATATATATATATATATATATATATATATATATATATATATATCTTTGGTTGGATAGATGTGAGTTTGTGACCCTGGGTATCACGCTTTAGCGATCGTCAGACAAACCAAATATGTTAGCTCTATCTCTGATATTAAGCGCTTTTAATAACTACCGCATATAATATATAAATAATTATACATATATATATATATATATATTTATTTATATGTATATACACTTTTGCACACACACACACACACACACACACACACACACACACACACACACACACACACACATATATACATATATATATATATATATATATATATATATATATATATATATATATATATAATTGTATGTTATATAGATTGGCATCTCAGTCCCACCCTTTCATCGTCGGAACGATTTAATGTAGCCCTCAGTTCTACTCTAATAGGTTTATGTCTCACACTTCCCGCCTTTCCCTTGCTTTCACTTGTTTCCGTGATAGCTGTAATCTGGAAATATTCAAATGTAATGTCAATCGACATCTCCAGATACCTTGATCTATTCACTGTCCTTCTCTTCATCCTTTCCTTTATCGCAGCTTTGTGTTACTGCTCCCCCTTCCTGTAATATATTGCCTGTTAGTGCCAATCCCGCCTTGCTTAGAGTAAATAGCTTAATAATATATATATATATATATATATATATATATATATATATATATATATATATAAGCAAATATATGGATTAGATCCGACATTAGAAAGAAAAATATACTGAAAAAACAAACAAAAATCCTAATATGCGATTATGCTGTTTTAATGTTTAATGTCAACGTCGGACGTTTCGGTCTAATAGACCATCTTCAGGACATATTCATAAAACATAATTAACATAGACCATATATATATATATATATAAGTGGAGTGTGTGAATAAGATATGAGAATGCTGGATTAATTCAAGGAATAAAGACAATGTTTCATCGGAGAAGTTTACAATGAATTTAGAATGTTTCAGGGTTCATTGGGAGAACCTTAATAAGCAGAAATACATCGTTCCAGAAGACATTACTGATGAAAGCAGGAAAATGCATCGTTTATTGAAACTTCTCGTTCGATCACCGAAGTTAAGCTACGACGGTCCCGGTCATTATATAAATATATTCTGGACATTTCTGGAAAATCTGATACTCACGGGTCAAATAAGAGGAAAGAGATTCAAGCGAAAGTAGCGTGTGTCATACCTGACGAGCTTGAACAGGTGGATGACAGAACGTGGTATGAGGGACGGAGCTTGCTGAGAGCAGAAAGGGATACAGGCAGGTGGAGTGCCATGATCGCCCACGTCCTGAAAGGACATGGTGCATAAAAAGAAATGAAGTGACTCGCTTTGTTTGAGACTTTATCGAAGTAAAGTGATGTTTAAAGTTGATGCTACAACACACAATCACGAAGAAAAAGGAAGGTTTAATATTTTAATATTACTTTTTTTTACATATATATTCGAGCCGATTTTATTTAATTTATTTTTTAGTTTATGTTTTTTATCAATTATATTACGAAATATCCCACATTTTGATACTAGAAAGGTTAAATAGTGTAAGAACCTGGTCATGTATTCACTATGGATAATCTACAGATTAAAGCCTTTTTTTATACATTTCGTTTTAGTAAATTGCATTCTGTTTTAGCGTATCTATTAGGTTGGTGCAAAAATAATGACGTAAGAATGTCGTTTTTTGACGTTAAAAAATATGTCAAAAACGACATTATTACGTCATTATTTTTGCACCAACCTAATAATAACAACGAAATGTTAACATTGTGTCAGTGGTTTTAAATGTTGCCCGTTTTTTTTGTTGTTGTTTTTTTTAAATGCCGTCCTGCGTGAGACGTTAAACTAAATCCGCGTCCTGGGTAAGACGATAAACTACGTTCAGCAGCGAGGCCTCTGATCAGGAGGATTTGAGGAGCGTAATACCACCTCTTAATTACTGGTGTACCCAAGTCCACCATGATCTGGAGTGGTAGTATCTGTTAGGGTTCCAGCTATGAGCAAATACTTAACCTTAGCGTCCTGGGTAAGACGATAAACTACGTCCAACAGCAAGGCCTCTGATCAGGAGGTTTTGAGGAGCGTGGAACCGCCTCTTCATTGCTGGTGTTCCCAGGTCCACCCTGACCCGGGGTGGCAGCACCAGTTTGGGTCCCATTTATGGGTAAATAGTTAATTATTACCAGCAATAAATTTGAAGGAAAAATATTACCAGAAACAGATTTTTGAAAAAACAAAATATTACCACAAGTGAAAAATGTCGGCATTAAATAATCCATTGAGGTTGATAAACAAAATAAACAAAACCAAACTGTTTTTTTAAAAAAAAAAAAAAAAAAAAAACAAGCCATATTTTCGTAAAACAAAATAAAGTCTTACATTGATAACCCGTGATGGAGTTAAGAACATTTAACTCGGGAACGAGGTGAGAAATATCATATAATTAACTATTGGTTGTTCCTATATGTCTATGGAGGTAGCTTTCCTGTATACCACTGATTACTGGACAATCTCTTCAAGAGACTTGAAGCAAAAGTAATGTAGTTCTAAAGAAGGATGTTCAATATTCCATGGACCGAAAATGAGAGCAGCGATATATATATATATATATATATATATATATATATATAATGTTTGTATTTAGGTAGCATTTTTTCATCAATATATGTTTCCTTAAGTAATATAGACAAATTTTGTCTATTTATTTTATGTAAATTTTTTTTATATCGTCTGATAAGCGTTATAAAATTATCATTAAACGAAGAAAGAAAATCACAATATTGATACATATTTTTTTAATCCAATCTAAGCTTTCGGCTTACATAAGCCATTATTAAAGATGTCACTTACTGTACAGTATATTAAGCAATACACGGACAAGTAATTGCTGATAGTCTGTTTCTGTTTACATGGATGATTTCCAAGCAACAATAATCACGTGTGCATAAGTCGCTGGAAGCGAAAATCGTACCGCAGCTCATTACGTCACACATGACCAGACGAGAGTGAATCCGCGAAGTATTAAGTATGGGAAGCCGTTGGTATAAACCAATGGCTTATGTTACCAATTATAGGCATTTAAGAATATTGGTGGAGATTTCGTAGTTTATTTTGTTCAGGTTTCAACTGTTTTATGTATACAGCTTCAAGAATTTTTAGTTTTTGTGTATCGTTTTCATGTTTACGTATAGTTGTATTTTCAACAAGGATTTTCCGGAATTGTTTATGTGGCCAGGCATGTTGTTTTAAATGCCTAAAAATGTTAGAGTTATCATTCAATTCAAGCGTCGGGAAAGCGATTTTGTGATATAACCAACATCAGTATTATTTAATTCGTTGGAGATAATATATTGTAATATAATTGTCATCTTTGATAATAGCGTATGTAAGTCGAAAGCTTAGATAGGACTAAAAAATATGTATCAATATTTTGATTTTCTTTCTTCGTTTAATGATAATGTTATTAAGCTTATCAGACGATATGAAAAGAATTTACATAAAATAAATAGACAACACTTGTCTATATTATTTACTGAAACATGTATCAATATATGTGTGTGTTTTAATGTTATAAAAGTCTCTGAGAACAAAGAATGTTTGTCGTTTCTTTTCTCTTCAGCAATTCCTTTCGTGAAGTACGGTATTATTATATCACAGATATAATAATGCCCATAATGGGGGAAATGAAATTGAGAAATAAATATTTCAACCATATCTCCCTCCCGTTACGAGAAAATTTTGCTGTCAGGTGTTGTTTATCGTCATACTCAATACTCGTGGACTGGGATAAGCCCCCAACATAATTTATATATTCTTATATCACTAACATTTAACTATTTCGATCATTTGCTCGTATTTTGGTAGTTGTTGACATTATTATAGATAAACATTTCCGCTGAAAGCCCGCTGATTCTCATTTACCTGATATAAGATATCTGCTTATTGTTAGGTTATTTTCCTGCTAGTTAGTTATCTTTCGTTCCTAACGAAACAATCGTTCACTACCTGGTCCAGGGATTGAACTCACATCGATAACATATGTTTAATTAAATTGTGTATCCACTACAACCCTATTTTGAATGAGATTACTGGTGAATTTTGTAGTCTTTATATGATGGGCTAATAACTGTGGCCGGGCATTTAACCGAAAGATATTTGGCTGACGGACATTTGGCCGACAGATATTTGGCCGACAGATATTTGGCCGAGAGACATTTGGCCGACAGATATTTGGCCGACGGACATTTGGCCGACAGATATTTGCCGACGGACATTTGGCCGACAGATATTTGGCCGACAGATATTTGGCCGACGGACATTTGGCCGACAGATATTTGGCCGAAAGACATTTGGCCGAAAGACATTTGGCCGAAGTGACATTTCGCCGACGGACATTACGCCGAGAGACATTTGGCCGAACAGACATTTGGCCGACGGACATTTCACAGAAAAATTACAAGTAAAAATATTAACAAGCAATACTTTTAATTAACAATGTTATAAGATAGAATAGGACTAATAATTACGACTGAATTTTAAGTGATTAAATAGTTAATCTAAAATTAAAGTTAAAAGATTTCTTATTTCAATATTTATTTATTGAAATTTGTATTTTAAAAAATATTTGAGTCTATTTGGGTACAAAATAGCACCTGATTATTGAAATTCGTATTTAATAGTAAGATAAAAAAAAGGTTCGTTCCTTTAAGATAATGATCATTAAAAGCGAAATTGAAAGATCTTTCATATCGTAAAATGCTTAAGAATTTTGCTGTAATAAAATGACTTTTTTCCTTATTCTTATGATTTTATAATAATATTTGAGGGAATATATATATACAGAATAGATTAAAAAAAGCCTGTCAAAAAAATGAAAAATTATAAATTAATACAGTAAATAAATTTAAAAAATATGTAGCACATTACGATAATGAGCGTGATATACATGTAAGTACGTCACAATATTTTCGGTTAAATGTCCGAGTAACGTTAATAGCAGGACAACCATTGTTCAACAGGGTGGCAACCAGTCTAAGGTGAATGACAGCTCTGAAATCGAACGTGAAGAGAGTAGTTTAAGGAATTTGTGGCAAGCGGTGCACCAGCTCACTGTATTCATCTCTCCCAAAAACTGCGGCCAGTTCTGCACTCGCACTACTGTAAGAACTGAACTGCTAGACCCTCATACATTAAAAACGATGGGAGAATTCGTCATATGATGGCTGATGATGACCAGTGGCTACTTGGCCGAAAAGTCGTGTCTATAATAACAACTATAATAAGAAATATGTGAACAATAGTTCGAAAAGTATACAAAGTTGTCCATTTTGAATTTATGTGGACCGCCTGCTGATCCTAATATCCTCGCATCACCATATTAGGATAGTGTTGTAACCAAGAAAAGGATACTGAATGAGGTATAACTAAACCGGAGGTTGGAAATGAAATGGTAATCTTTATAACATCAACAAAATAAAATACTCACCAGCGGCGTGAAGTAGGTAAACCACTGCTGAACTATTTAGACAGCATATTACGCACCATACAATAATGTCCAACATAATTTATGAGCATTAAGACTTACCCATTAGTGTTCATATAACACTATCTACTACTGTTTGTTCCTTATCTATCTATCTATCTATCTATCTATCTATCTATCTATCTATCTATTTATTTATTGTAAGCTAGAAAAGGTTACTGAATGAGGAATACCGAAAATGGAGGTTAGAAATGAAATGGTTATATTTATAACATCAACAAAATACAATACTCGCCAGCGGCTTCAAGTAGGTAAAGCACTGCTAGTGGTGGACTACTTAGACAGCATATCCCCCCCACACACTTACAATAGTGGCCAACGTATTTATGAGGATTTGGACATACCCATTAGAATTCATAGGTACGGTATATAACATTATGTATTACTGTCTGTTCCTTAGGTACGGTGTATAACAGATACATTTTTTTTTTAATTTATTTACATATGAATGTTTTCTGCCTGCATATAAAGCAGTTGCTCATCCTTGCATATTATGATCTGAAAGCTTCAATCGCTGACAGTATCCGTCGTTCGATAGTCGCAGTTCGCATTAAGTCCCCCATCAAAATCAACTCATTCTACCTTATCCTATCTCGCAGATATGATATTAAAGAAGAAAAGAAAACATTAGGCGCAAAGATATTAAGTTTATTAACCTTTTAACACCAAAAACTCCTTTTTCGTTATTGGCAAAACAAAACAATAACAATTTTGCCAATTATGAACGCAAAACTAATAACAAACATTTGAAAAATGAACACAGCGTAGCTTTTGCTCGTATTTCGCGAAAAGAGGATAATAAATAGGATTGATCATATTAACCGACAAAAAAGAGATCTTTACAATAACCGTTGTATTAATTAAAGCAGATCATCCTACAAATAACAAACAAGACAAGAGCCGAAGTACTAACTATAAAATAATAATAATAATAATAATAATAATAATGACAGGATAATAATAATAATAATAATAATAATAATAATAATAATAATAATAATGACAGAGAAGAAAAAGAAGAAGAAGAAGAAGGAGAAATCGAAATCTCAAAAATGTGGCACATGGGAATATCAACAAGCCCCGTTGTAGTTGGAGCCCTCGGATTGGTTGGAAAAGATTCCAGTAGACAAATTGAAGAGATTCCTTGAAGCCCATGCCTTAAAGAAAAACAAAAAATTGTTCTCACGAGTACAGCCCACAACTTATGAAGGGCTTTGTCTATGTAAAATTTTTTTTTTTCGAGTGGAAAATGTCATGATGCCATTTCTAAACTTAGGTACCTGGACGAGAACCGGAAAGAAATGCGTACACATCAGAAATCAAAGGAAATAATAATAATAATAATAATAATAATAATAATAATAATAATAATAATAATAATAATGGCAAGATAAACCGCTTCGTGGCCCATACTAAACATGGCCCATACTATGCCCATACTAAACAAGCTGATGTAGACAAACCCGTACCCATCAGTGGCTATGTAGTGCAGGGTTAAAAGCTGAAACGTAAGGTTCTATGCTTGCTGCACAGGACAAATGCTTGTTTACTAGAAATTATCAATTACACATACTAAAATTTTGTGTTAGAAAACAATGAAGATTCTGAGATAAATATCCACAAACAATTGATCATCAGGTATTTGCACCTACTGAATATAAAACACGGCATGACAGAGTGAGCCAATATCTGCACTGAAAAATCTGAAACTTCTATATGAAAGAAACTGAAAGGAATTGGTATGATTACCACTCAGACTCAGTTACGAAGATAAGACTTCTTACAATTTTATGGGACTACACAATACACACAGAGAACTATCAAAGCTAACCGTACGGACATTGTTATTAGAGACCGCAAACAAAGAAGTGCCTCCTTATTGATATGGCAGTCCCTGCAAACTGTAATATATATTTGAAGATCTTCAAAAAGCTATAAAAAATACAAAGACTTTGAAATAGAAATCTCAAAAATGTGGCACATGGGAAAATCAACAATCCCTGTTGTTGTTGGAGTCCTTGGATTGGTTGGAAAAGATTCCAATAGTCTAACTGAAGTGATTCCAGCAAGTCCATGCCTTAAAGAAATACAGAACAATTGTTCTCACGAATACAGCCCACAACATAAGACGGGCTTTATCTATGTAAAATATGTTTGTGTTTTTTCATTTTTTTGGGATTGGTCAGTGGAAAATGCCATGATGCTATTTCTAACCTTAGGTCTCTGGGCGGAATCCGAAAAGAAATGCGTACACAACAGAAACCAAAGCAAATATAATAATAATAATAATAATAATAATAATAATTAAAAATAATAATAATAATTAATAATAATAATAATGCATAATAATAATAATAATAATTAATAATAATAATAATGAATAATAATAATAATAATTAATAATAATAATAATTAATAATAATAATAATTAATAATAATAATGAATAATAATAATGAATAATAATGAATAATAATAATAATAATTAAAAATAATAATAATAATTAATAATAGCAATAATGAATAATAATTATAATAATAATTAATAATAATAATAATAATAATGAATAATAATAATAATAATTAATAATAATAATGAATAATAATAATAATAAATAATGAATAATAATAATAATGAATAATAATGAATAATAATAATAATTAATAATAATAATAATGAATAATTATAATAATAATAATAATAATGAATAATAATAATTAATAATAATAATTAATAAAAATAATAATGAATAATAATAATAATAATTAATAATAATAATAATAATAATAATAATAATAATGGATAATAATAATAATGAATAATAATAATAATGAATAATAATGAATAATAATAATAATAATTAAAAATAATAATAATTAATAATAATAATAATAATAATGAATAATAATAATAATAATTAATAATAATAATGAATAATAATAATAATAATAATAATACCATCTTGTATCACGGTGTACTGTATTAGAAACCTACGAATATAAATCACGGTATAAAAGGATGGGTTAATATCTACACTTGAATATCGGTACCTTTTACGGGATGGAAACAGCAAGAAATCGTTATGAACACTGCCCAGAACCAGTTACAAGAGAGGGACTTGTAAAAATTCTATCGGAAATTACAATACACACAGACAGAACAATCAAAACTAATTAGCCAAACACAGACCCCGGAGGGGGGCACCTCGGCCTAGTGTAACAGTTACCAAGCTTCTCTCTCTCTCTAGAACAATTACGTCTGAATAGTGAGTGGGTACCCTATACTTTCGGCCTTGAGCCGCATCTAAGCTCTGCTTAGAAAATCACCATAGTGATCACAGTCAGTAACAGAAAATACATGAATTCTTATTGACATGTCAGATTGTAATGTTTCTTTGAAGATTATCAAATAACTGTCAGAATACAAGGATCTTTAAGTGCAAATCTAAAAAAATGTGGCACATTTCAGTTGTGGGTGAGGCAGGGGTTTCTCTGTTTGATTTGAAAAGGTTCTGACAGACCCATTGAATTTATTCTTGGTAACCCATGCCTTAAAGAAATAGAAAGCAGTATCCTCACAAGTAGAGCTCACACATTACGAACGGGTTTATCTATGTTAAATGCGTGTGATCTTATGCTTTTTTATTTTTTTCAAAATTTTAGTGAAACCTGTCATAATGCCATTTTCGACCTCAGGTCACTGGATGGGACCCGGAAAGAAATAAGTATATAACAGAAATCCATGGAATTAATAATAATAATTATTATAATAATAATATCCTATGGCTTCAAAAGTTTGAACAGGAGTAGACGTGTATCCCTTGTTTCCTTTTTATGTTTGATTTTTCAGAATAATAATGTCCTATGACTTTAGAAGTTTAAGATCGTACAATTTGAGGGAGAGCACACACAAGGCAGGATGTGCAGTTGAAAACGAGAAACGGTGTGGAAGATGGAGAAAATACTTCTCCCCTCCTCTTCTTTTCTACTACTACTACTACTACTACTACTAATAATAATAATGATAATAATAATAATAACTGTAGTTGTAGTTGAAACTCTAGGATCGATTCGAAAAGGGTACGATATTATCACTGAAGGAATTCCTGGTAGCCCAGGCCCTATATATATATATATATATATATATATATATATATATATATATATATATATATATATTTAAAGATATTTTTGTAGGTACAAAATTTAATGATCGAAATAAAACTATAAAATTTAATATTACAAGAAATATTAAAACAATATGAAATAATACAAAAAAACACAACAACAAGGGGGGGGAAGCAACCGGTTTCGCTCCCTGCTCTTCAGGCTTCCACGGGAGATTCAAAATTAAAACTGTGTTTTTTTTATTATTTAATATTGTTTTAATATGTCTTGTAATATTAAATTTTATACTTTTATTTCGATATATATATATATATATATATATATATATATATATATATATATATATATATATATATATATATATATATATATATATATATATATATATATAAATTGTACTCACAAGTAAACCCACATATTCCGAAGAGATTTATCCATGGAAAATGTGTGGGATCTTTGTTTTGATTTACATAAATCATCAGTGAAAAATGTCATAAAATCTTTTCTAACCTTAGGTCTCTGGTTGGGGTCCGGTAGGAAATGTGTATATAAGAAATAGCAAAGAAACTACTACTACTACTACTAGTACTACTACTACTACTACTACTACTAATAATAATAATAATAATAAGCTCTATCAAAACTTATAAACACCTCAGATTGGATCACTAAACGCATTAGATATCTCATGTGACAAACAAGTAAATCAGATGATCCGAAATATTATAGGCCAATAACATGTCTGCCTACCACGTACAATTGATCACGTATATCCTAACGAACCGTACTTACTCTTTTTTCGAAGAGAACTACATTCTTTTGGAAGAGAAGGCTGCAGGGTGGGGGGTCCATATGGTGAAAAGATCAACTACAGATAAAAAGAAAGATCCTGGAAAATTGCAGGAGACAAGATAGAAATCTTAGCGCAGCGTGGATTGATTACCGTAATGTCTTTGATAGTGTGCCACACTCTTGGATCCTTTTAGAATTTGATATTAAATTTCCTTAATTACA